GAATCGCTATGGAAAAACATGAGTAAAGGTAGGATTTTTAACTATCCAGCATTGCGATATGCGGTAGAGGTGTGCGGTACTGCGATGTTGCGGATATCGCAACCCGTATGCTGTTGGCGGCAAATTTGTATTTTAACTGTCGGGCAAATATTGTTGAAGTCGCGATCGACGCGATCAAAACATGTATTCAGCTACTCGTCGCACATATCATCATTTCAAATTTGTAAGCATATTCTCCATTTTTTAAAAAACAAATGACAGCTTCGGGTGTCAATATGACAGCTAGGTGCTTCGCTTTGTCTCGGCTATTTGAATACCTCCGAGCACCTAAAAGGGCTTTTCTAGCGTGTAATGTATTGAACTTTGCATTCTTCTCCCTCAAAAATCGTGAATAGACATGCGAAAGTGGAACATGCTAGTAGCGAAAATGAGAGTAACTACTAGCATGTTTCACTTTCACTTTCGCTCGCCTATGCGAGATAAAAAAATCTACTTTTGTAGGGGGGAGAATGAAACATTATTTTGTTTCGCACAAACGACGTGTAGCGGAGAAGTAGCCGAGTGCAAAAAAAAAAATCATTTTCCGCACTTGTTAGGTACAATAGTTTTTTTACAGACTTGCGGAAATAAGTATACCTACATAATTCGTAGTAATTTAATATTTTTTTCCGCACGACTGTAGAAAAAATAATATATTTTTTAACTAGTCCGAAAAGTACCATTGTTCCGCAGGCGATTGCAGTTTGCAGCAACCAAATGCGGAAAAGAGATTTTCCGCAAAAGTTAGGAATACTATTTTTTCTAAGAGATGAAAGTTAATATTTTTACCTACATATTTATCAATTTAAGATATTTTTTTCACTTTATCGTACTTGTATCTGTAGTATACCTGTATACCTGTATACATAAAAATTTCAGGTATTCTACTTTTTCGCACTCAGTGCGAAAAAGCACTAGTGCGGAAAAGTGGTACTTTCATGACCTAAAATACGTGCGGAATTGCGGAAAAGTACACTTTTCCGCACGTTCGTAGAAAAAAATAATTTGACACATTCTCACAGGTTTGTCCATTTCAAATATCAAAAGTTTTTTGAAGACAGTAAATAAACAAGAGCATGATTTGTGTTAAAAAATACCAATGTTTTGCCATTCAAGTCCGGTCTACTGATCGTCTTAAAAAAAAATCTAGAATGGTACATAAAGCCCAGATAGAGAGATAAATTGAACATGAAAGAATTCATCGAAACTGCCACAGGGTTCTATTGAATTGAATAAATCGAGAAAACCAATATCATTTCAGATTTACATTGATAGATGTTTTGTTTCATTTGTTTGGATTTTGGACGGTAGAAAAAGACACCTCTAGCACAAATAACATTTGCTGCTGGAATTAATTTTTACATTGGAAGGGATTAGGGATTCGTTTGTGCCAAAAACAAGTCTTTGCTGCTTACGGCATTATAATGACGAGTGTTTTTTTGAAATCCCAGGATACAGCTCCATTTCGTGGTTTTCAACGGGTAGTCGCTATGATAGCTCAAGAAGCCATGCAGTGATTCAAGGCATTGCGTCAAAGTATTATCCAACAAAAGGTTGGAGTCAGAAAACCATTTTTCAGGAGAAGAAAAATTTTTTAAATTATTGACTAATCTCAATGTCAAATATTTCCAAAAAAGATGCCATAACATTTTTGATGAAAATAAAATTCGGCTTGTCGGCCGTAAGGCAATAGCCTATGTCGATGGAATCTATATCAAAATTCCGAAGTGCTCTTATTTCTAAGCACTCAGGCAATCGTATTGTCTTTATAAGGGGTGCCATCTATTAACACTAGGACTTTATGAAATTATGCCATATCTCTTGAACGGTAACTCGAAAAAAAAAATTCAGTACGCCAATGAAATCTACGTAAAAAACTGCGTCAGATACAATTTTCATCTTTTTGATATCTTTTTTCTTACGCGAGATAATGACAACCCTCGAAAAGTGGAAATTTCAAGTTTCACCCTGTATCTCCAAAACGGTAGGTATAAAATAGAGAGTTGCGGTTTGCGGCATTCGATCCATCATAAAAAATGTGAAATCAAAAAAAATCTATCCCTACGAGTTTAGCAGATAACCCCCAATACCATCTTAAATGGGACACCCTGTACACTTGGCCAATCATAAAACTGGTAGATACGCATTTTCCTATTGTGTTGTATAAATCGACCTTTTTTATCACCTCAACAATGACAAAATTGAAAACGGGACAAGTCATTGTCATAATATTTAAACCAATCATAACATAAAAACATGTTGCATTTACCTTTGTTCAGGTTTGACGTTGACAAAAACTGTCACTTTCGGCATTTTAAGTCACTCTGCCCAACTAAAAATCTAACACCTCAGTGATTTAATAGTAGATTATACCACGAGTCAATAATGATAGCTATTATTCCCGAGGAATATTTACGAACTGAGCCGCGTTAGCGGCGAAGGAGTAACATTCCGAGAGAATAATAGCCATTACTCTAATTTATTTACGACAAATCAATTTATTTGAGATTTTCTTTTTAAAAACGCTCCTTGTTCATCGACCTTAATGCAAATAAACAAGCACTATGCGTTTGACACTGTCACTTTGAGTTTGCTTACACGTTTGCTTATATTGTTTCCATGGTACTACTTATTTAATTTGAAGAATTTTGTGATTGTAATCCCGGCGGGAATAATGTATATGGCATTATACTGCCAAAATCACAAATATAATACTTACATTATATATCAGTCGTAAATAAAATATTTTTAACTCACGCTCGGCATTTGTACTTTATTTTTTAAATTTCCACAAAATAGGATAAAATTTTGTATACATCATGTGAGTTAAAATGTTTATTCATTCGAAAAAAATTAACCCACTCGCTAGGGCTCGTTGGTTAAACTTTCTTCTCATGAATAAATGAGTGAATAAATATTCAGTTAAAACTCGTAAGATCTACTTAATATCCCTGAAAATCTTCATAATTTTATTGAAAATTCTATTTAACAAAATCTCACAAAATCACTTCAAATCGTATAAAATTTTACAAAAACATTATTATGTAAGTATACCTAAAAAAAAATTCGTTTAAAATTTCCAAAAATTCTTTGGAATTCCCAAAAATTCGTTAAAATTTCTAAAAATTCTTTAGGATCTCTTGAAACCCTTCGCTGTATATTTTCAGTTTCAGTCGAAATACTATAAATTATTTCGGAATCGTTTGGAAATCCCGAAATTCATTAGAAAGCGCAAAGAGCAAAATCCTATCCGAAATCCTCACGAAATTCCAACCAAATTCTTTTGAAATCCCGAAATCCCAATATGTTTATCAAAATCCTAAATCCTCAAAATCCTTAGAGTCGAATATCCGAAATCTTTCGAAATTTCTTAAAAATTGTCGAAATCTCCTGCGATTTTCGAAATCGATATACAAATTGGTGAGTGAGAGGCCTCTCGTTTAAAATTCTGTAAAATCATGTGAAGATTTTCAAAATCCTCAAAATCCTACAAAATCAATAAAGATTTGAAATATATGTACACATTTCATGGAATTAACTAAACTTCGAGCGGTTAATTGATTAAAATTTGAATACAAGTTAGTCAAAAAGGCAGAAAAACTCGCAAAATCTACTTAAAATCCCTGAAAATCTTTAAAATTTTTGAAAATCCAACAAAATCTTACAAAATTTTATTAGAACAAAAAAAATCCGGCAAAATCTTATAAAATTACTATTAAAAAAATTCCTTTAACATAAAAATCCGTTAAAATCTCTGAAATTTTTTTAGGATCTCTAAAAACCCTTCCTACTCCTCTAAAATGCTCCAAAATCTTTAAAAATCCTGTAAAATCATGTGGAGATTTTCAAAATCTTCAAAATTCTACAAAATCAATGAAGATTTCAAAATTTGTGTACATATTTTAAGGAGTTAACTACCTCTCTTCAAAAACCGACATTGAAGTTTTTTTTTTTTTTTTTTAAGAAAGCGTTTGGAGAATTGGCTTGAAATTCTGCAAGTGAATAAAGAAAAGATTGAAATTTAGGAAAAAATAAAAATTTCCTTATGGAGCAAACCACCTAGGAATAATTTGCCAAAACTGTGAGAAATTAACAGGCATTTGTGGGAAAATTGGAGGAATTTATAGGAAATTGGGGGAATTTATTGGTTTTAATTTAACGCAGCGTAATAAAAATAGAAATATACATTTCTTAAAATAAATAATTTTAGGTATTTTTAGGGAATTTGTAGCAGGTATTTGCAGAGTATTTGCGAGCCAGTTTGGAGAAATTTGTAGGAAATTTGAAGGAATTTGTGGGGAATTGGGAGGAATTTGCGAGTAGTTTAAGGAATTGTTTGCACAAATTCAAGGGGATGGTTTACTTCTCGTATAAATGTTTTTAACAAGTATTTCAATTTTTTCTATTATAAAAATGACTAGATAATTCACAATTTTCTTCATTATTTTGAAACAAAACATTAAATTAGTTAAGTTTAAAAATACCTATATTGTTTGGTGTGTTATGTTTTTAAGGAAAATTTGATTAGTAGGTATCCAAGTTTAATTGTTTTTTTTAAAGTCAGTTGAAATAAGGTAAAGGTAAATTACAACTAATGATTGAATACTGCACTGTTACTAGTCAGCCACCAGTTGCAATTCATTTTTACCTTGTTTTAATTGACTTTACAAAGACTATACTTACGTATTTTAATTTTTAACATCATGTTTTATATATATTTTTATTTTTGTTCTCATACTGCTTTTGTGGATAAAATACATATTTCTTCTTTTCACAATAATCTTATAGCGTTTCCGATTGGTACATCTAGTGTGGAACTAGTGCAATTTTTTCTATTTCTGTCTTTTTTTTTCTACGGGTCGATTAAAAGGATGCAAATACACTCAGTACACACTGAATCCACCAATCGGAAAGGTCAGTATTTTAAATTGATTTGAAATAAACAAAAGAAAACAACTCACCTCACTAACGGACTTTTTGGTAAACTCATTCAAAGCGGCAATCCACACTTGCAAAAGTTCGTTAACGATAACGAAATCGTTATAAAGCCACTGAAACACGTCGTTCACCCACAAAACCACCACGTTATCAGGCCCGGTAGCCTGCGGCGCGGGCAAATAACGCGTTTTCCGCCCGCCGCCGCCCACTTCGCGAGCGGGACTTTGCCGCGTCAAACGGCGACGCACTGGCGGCGTCGGCGGCACGAACCCCGCGACTTTGGGCACAATCACCGGCGCTTTTTTAACGTTATTTCCAGTATCCAACACATCGGGACTCGGAGCTGCTGGCTTTTGACTTTTGTAGAAACGTTCGTAGACGATTTTGATGAGCCATAGGAAGAAAAGGGCGGCCAAAATCCAGCCGAAAAGTAGCATCGCTAAAGTGTCCATGGTGGTGTCTCCAGGTCCGTCCAGGGTGCAAATCAGGTCGTCGACGGCTTCGGCTAAGTCCATTTTCTAGCCATTTCGGGCTCTGGAAAAAAGAGAAAATTCATCACTTGGAATTATGACACTATACACTCAGCAGGTCCGAGTCCGTTTTTAAAAATAAACCGACTGTTCGATGGCGAAGCTCGTTTTTCGTGTGAATTCCTGGGGCGGCGACTTTTCCTCTCCTGACCTGGCGATGCCCAGCTAAGTTTAGATTTTCTATTGTGTTTCAACGCCGCCAACATTCTGGCTCTAGGTTTTCAAGTGTAAACTTACACAATTTTCATATTACATATTATAAAAGTGTTTATTTATTTGTGTCGAAAATTATGCTAATCCTTGAATTATTATAATATTCAAATTTAAAGAAATAATAATTAAAACTGTAGTGATTCAATAAATACAAAGTAAAAATTAAATAAGTTTAATGTGTGTTGGGAAATTTTTCTAAAAACAAAAAAATCATACAAGAAAAACACAAATTTCTTTTTTAATTATTTTTGAATTTAATCATAACTGCTTTTGTCAATAACATATTTAGTGTTAAATTTTCAATTCTGATCATCTTCTTTAAAAATTTTCGTAATCTTTGGAATCTTCAAAGTTCTAATTTTGACTGGTCTTTTGATTGTTCTAACTCTTTTGATTTTTTAATTTTTTTTGAATTATTTCAAATTTTAAGCCTCAGCTTAAGCCATCACTAAAAAAACGTTATTTATTCCTAAATCATTATTTGTAAAATTCATTTGAGTTATTAGTGAACATCAAAAGTCTTTGAAATAATTAAAGATTCTTCAAATCTGTTTGGTTTCCAATATCGCTAAAACGTTGAGTCTTCACTCTTCAGTATATTTGAAATCTATGAAATCTTGTAAGCCTTTAAAGTTGTCATTAGAATCTATAACCTTATGTAATGAGCCTTATAAACACTGAAAATTTTACTGTATACAGGGTGTTTGGTAGGTCGATGCATATATTTTGGGAAGTGATAGAGTAAGTCATTTACAACCTTTGTAATCAAACTTACTTCAGTAGCAAGTCTTATGGTTTTCAAAATATGGCCGATTTAATTTTTTCTTAAACAAATTAACAAATCCTTTGTTATGCTGTAAACAACACAGATAAAGAGTAAATTAAAACGTAGAAGAAATTACGTGCTCTCTTGTGCTAAGATTTTGACTTTTGGATTTAGAGCGTGCATTAGGGCCTTATTGAATTTACTAACATTTTTCTATCCTGACGAGAGAATATCCTAGCAAATTGAAATAATTAATCTAGAGATATTAGCTCAAAAACAACTATAGCTGAGTAGCTTCCCGTATGGGACCTCAGTACCCTCCGACAGACCAGCTTACTAACTAAAAACTCTTTAGTATTAATTATAGGTAATGTTGATTGAATGTAATGTGTGTAATTAAAATTTTAGCACAATAATAAGGGCGGTACCTAGTTTCAATTTTTATTGAATTATGGCCGTTTCCATTAACTATTTTAGGAAAACCTTAACGATAAATATTTCTTAAACTGCTATGTCTCCATGTAAAATATCATCTTAGAGAATACTTATCGTTAAGGCTCAACTAAAATAAACTACGCGTCAATCGAACTCGAACACCCCAATTTTTAGTCACTTTTTGAAAAGCTATAACTCAAAATCTAGCAGGCCGATTTTTTCCAAATTTTCAGAAGTGAAAGGATAGTCTAATTGCTATTTTATTTCCAGTTCTTAACAGATTTCCAACCTCCTGCTAAAAGATACAAGGTGAAACATGAGTTGGCGATTTTTGTGCGAAAGTTTGAGTTCACCCCATTCTGCTGGAGGGAGGGTTAAGTAGATTTTTGGTATGCACTTTAGAAGAGTACCTTAGTACCTCGGGACGTTTTTGAGATTTTTTGAATATCGTAGCCGACTACGATTTTATCATGAGTTATACGATTTTATGTAAAATATAGCTATTGATGTCATTATTTCTTTTCAAAACAAACACTACAAGAATGGCGCATGTGAAAACACACTTAGAACATAATATACAGGGTTATACTAAAATATATAGGGTGTTCTGATAAGAATTTCCGGATGTTTTTCTCAAATCAAACGAAAAGGCAACTAGGAAACATTTAATACTTTATAGCATTAAGTAACATGATCGTTCACAATTATACATGAAATGCAATATCCAACAAACGGCCACCACGACTTCTCTCAAGACACACAAATTTTTCGCCAAAACTTTCGATCACATCTGTGCACATTTCCGGTGGTATCTCATGAATAATCCGCCAAATCTCATCTTCCAACTCTTGAATGATTTGGAGTATCATTAACATACGCTTTGCTTTTGATATAACCCCACAAAAAAGAGTCTAGTGACGTTAGATCGTAAGATCTAGGCGGCCAATTGACATCCCCATTTCTTAAAAGAAGTTTATCTTCAAACCCTGTTTGCAATAAGTCAATGGTTTATCTTGCTGTGTGACATGTTGCGCCGCTTACATCAAAATAAAAGCGTATGTGAACAATCTCCAAACAATTCAAGGGTTGAAAGATGTGATTCGGCATATTATTCGTGAGATACCACCGGAAATGTGCACAGATGTGATCGAAAATTTTGACAAAAGAGTTGTGTGCTGTGAGAGAAGTTGCGATGGCTATTAGTTGGATATTGTGTTTCACGTATAGGTATTTGTTAACGATCATGTTACTTATTGCTATTAGGTATTAAATGTTTCCTAGTTGCCTTTTCGTTTGAATTGAGAAAAACATCCGGAAACTCTTACCAGAATACCCTATGTATTTTTGTATGACCCTGTATAATATTTTCTAAGTATGTGCTTTCACATGCGCCATTCTTGTAGTGTTTGTTTCGAAAAAAAACATTGACGTCCATAGCTATATTTTACATAAAATCGTATAATTCATGATAAAATCGTATAGTCGGCTACGATATTTAAAAAATTTCAAAAACGTCTCGAGGTACTAAGGTACTCTTCTAAACTGCATACTAAAAATGTACTCAACCCTCCTTCCAGCAGAATGGAGTGAACCCAAACTTTCGTAAAGAAATCGTCAACTTATGTTTTACCTTGTATCATTCAGCAGGTGGACAGAAATCTGTTAGCAATTGGAAATTAATTAGCATGTAGAGCAGCCTTTAACTCCTGAAAATTTAAACAAAATTGGCCAGCTAGATTTCGAGTTATGATCTCATAAAAAGTGACCAAAAATTGGAGTGTTCGAGTTCGATTGATGCGTAGAAATTCACCTGACCATCATTCTACCGCTTGCACATTCAAAAAAAAGATGGTATTCTGCATACACATTGATGTTTTTGTTCGCACGTTCACACGTTCATGTATGTGCGTACATGTTTTCAGACATCCACGTCCGTGTGTAACCGCCTAATGTGTATACAAAATATCGTCGCGTTTTTGAATGTGCAATCGCTAGAAATTTTGTATGCACACTCGGAATACTGTAGCAAGAATAGGCGGTTACACACGGACGTAGATGTCTGAAAACATGTACGCACATACATGAACGTGCAAACAAAAACATCAATGTGTATGCAAAATATCGTCGCGTTTTTGAATGTGCAATTTTGTATGCACACTCGGAATACTGTAGCAAGAATAGCAAGACTGCAGTTTTGTGCGAGCGCCTGTACAAAAGCGCCATGCACGTTGTTGTTTGCACGTTGATGTATGCACGTATATGTATTAAGACATCCCCGTCCGTATGTAACCGCCCAATAGCAAGACTACAGTTTTGTGCGAGCGTCTGTACAAAGAGGCGGTTACACACGGACGTGGATGTCTAAAAACATGTATGCGTATACATGAACGTGCAAACAAAAACATCAATGTGTATGTAAAATACCGTCGCGTTTTTGAATGTGCAATTTTGTATGCACACTCGGAATACTGTAGCAAGAATAGCAAGACTGCAGTTTTGTGCGAGCGTCTGTACGAAGGCGCCATGCACGTTGTTGTTTGCACGTTGATGTATGCACGTATATTTATTAAGCCATCCACGCCCGTGTGTAACCGCCCAAGGCGTCCTGCACGTTTTTGTTTGCACGTTGATGTATGCACTTTTATGTATCAAGCCATCCACGTTGGTGTGTAGCCGCCTTTAGGCGGTTACACACGGGCGTGGATGGCTTAATACATATATGTGCATACATCAACGTGCATGTCGCGTTTGTACAGACGCTCGCACAAAACTGCAGTCTTGCTATTCTTGCTACAATAATCTGAGTGTGCATACAAAATTTCTAGCGATTCCACATTCAAAAACGTGACGGTATTTTGCATACACATTGATGTTTTTGGTTGCGCGTTCATGTATGTGCGTACATGACAGACGTGGATGTTTAAAAACATGTACGCACATACATGAACGCGCAAACAAAAACATCAATGTGTATGCAGAATACCAAGGCGTTTCCGGTCGGGCTGAAGTTTATGATCCAAGGCGATAACCAGGTTACATAATTAGTCTAGGCTGTTATATGCAGTTATCGGTCGTATTTCGTTCCAGATTTTCCATTATGCCGAAGATATCTTTCAATCTAACAAAAAAAAAAAAAAAAACACTCGTTAATTCAACGGCCGGTGGCCTGTTATTTTCATTTAACCGGCTCGTTAAATATACCTTTTTGATTTCAATTTCGCTCATGTTATATTAAGATAACATTACAATTTTGCGCGTCTCAAAATTTTGAAACATTTTTTAAAACTGGTTTAAAACAGTTTCACTTAAAAAATTATTTAAAAACGTTGATTGGATTGTATTTCGAAGCGGTTTGAACCAATTTTCTGCGATGTCATATGGGACTATTTCAATCTTAATTTGAACCAGTAGCTTTAAAAAGGTGAACGCGAGAAAACAATTCAGATCTGCTGAAAGTGGCACAAGTAGCGGCATCAACAATCTGCTCTTTAGGTATTACTGTTCATACAAACATCATGCATGAAACGCCATTGAAAATCGACGGCCCTCTGCTTGGAAACTTCGTCGAGCAAAAATTCGTGCAAAGGATA